TTTGATTAATAGAAAGTTCAGAAGAACAGCATTTATCTGAAATATAATTTTTTTTGTAACATTATAAATGTCTTTATCGTCACTTTTGATCAATTTAAAGCATCCTTGCTAAATAAAAGTATTAATTTCTATCATTTCCCAAAAAAATAAAAATCAAATAAAAATACTGACTCCAAGCTTTTGAATGGTATATGTATGATGTTACAAAAGCTTTTTATTTCATATGAATGCTGATCTTTGGATCTTTCTATTGGATCTTTCTTACTGTTCAAAAAATTTTGACTGGTAGTGTATGTATGTAGCCTATGTATCACACTCATATCACATCTTGTTTTGGATAAGAATAAAACGTCAGGTCCGACAATATCGTGAATTTTTTTATTTAAATCTAGCTTTATTCGCATTGGCCCATGGAAACCTCTATGAACACACTTGACTTGACTTGGCTAAAAAATCGCGGGGGACGAATTTACGTGTTATTAAAAAGTGTTTACGCATACACTCATGGCGCGCGGCTCGCACACATTAGGATAGGTTAGATTCCTGCCTCCGTTGCGAGTACTATCAAGCACTTTACCAATTCAACTACTCTCTTCTTCTCCTCCTGCCTTGCTCTTTGGCCCGCATCACTCACCGCAGAGCAAGCCTGTTCTTGATAAATCTCCTGTGAAAACGTGGGAAAAACCGACGAGGAAGAAGTTGGGGTGAAGCGATCTTTATATAGGCGGAGCGAAGTACTTAATCGCTCCGTCTATAGCGCATTGTGATTGGATGTTTACGCTTTCAATACAGGAGACAAACCAATGGGCCACTGGCTGCTCGCTGTCCCTGCGTGGTGGTTTTCGGCAAAAAAAAAAAAAACATTCTGTCGACGCCTTAAGTGCGTCGGCCCACTGGGAAAATGCACGGTATGCCCGATTACCAATCCAGCCCTGCTAATGTCAACTCCACTACTAATTCAACCACTTTCTGATTTGTATTAATCAAATGAACAGATTATTTCGGGTGAAGTTTACTATCTAAAATCAAGTCATGAGAACCATAAGAAATTTGCTCAAAACAGCACATATAATTTTTATTTCATCCTTGGTGGCTAAAATCCCTGAGGGAAAAAAAATCCATTCAGTGTTATAGGTTGTTCAGTGTATGACCACTGTGGCGTAGTCAGTTCCTGATTCAAACTTCACTGCAGGAGCAGAGTTTTCACCAGCACCTGAATGATTCACTGTGGCATATAATAGCTCATCCTCTACGGTCTGTGAAAAACATGTTGAAATTAAACATTACAAATTAGTATTTCACAAAATCATGTTCATAAAAAACATTCATAACGGCAGAGAAATGCATTTTTTGACTGATATTTCGTTCTGTATGACTTTCTCACATGTTGTTTTAATTATCATTTCAAAAGTAATTAAATAAATCAATCAAATATGTACCTCTGTTTTCTCTTCCTGCACTTCAACAGTACCAGAATTTGCATCTCGGTTGTCTAAAAAAGAGAATTTGTCATGAATTTTATGTTTTCTTTAAATAAAAAAAAATCACACTTCAACATCATACCAATCATGACCTCAGAATTGTCCATTTACTAAAAAAAACAGTGAGGTGCAATGCAAGTTTGTACCGGTATACAGAGGTTATAAGCATTTCTGCTGATAAAAATATCCAAACTCACTCACCATTGTCCATTACTTGAGTTCTGTAAGAAAACAAAACATAACATTTAGAGAATCGTAGGTTTATACCAAATATTTTAGCTGAATAATATGCACTGACCTTGCTGGATGAAACTTTTGTCTATACCCTTAAAAAAAAAAACGAATGAATTAATAAATACATTTTGTAGACTACTGAAGACATTGGGCAGTAACTATAAAAAATGTGTATACTATGTTAATTATTTCATGGTTGGTGGTTATAAAGCAGGTTAGGATTATAGGATTATAATATAGGGTTAAAGATATAAGTGTGAAATCATTCTTTGACATACATAACCAGAATTACACAAGAGAATGTTGTGTTTGCGGTTTCTTACCTTGTTTTTTGGTCACATAGATAATACATAGGATGATGGAGATGAGCAAAGAGAGCAGAATCAGTGTCCCCAGGATAACCAGAAATATAAGAATGTATTTACCAGAAAGGGCTAAAGATGAAAACAGATAAGCAGTTTAAAATGTTGCATCTGTGTAGATAAAGAATAATAAAAAAAAGTGTTTTATTACATTACAATGGTTAAAAAAAAGCAATTTACATATCCTCCACACTGTAATGGTGACATTTTGGCTCATTTTGTTGTCAGCTTTGAGTTCACAGTGGACGATAATTGTTGTTCGGAGCTCCTCTCCAGCGTTTCCCTGTAACAGTTGCTCTCCACTGACAGTAAGTTTACAGCAATTGTCAGAGGAATTTTGCTGACCAATGTTTCTTGAATCAGCATAGAAAAAGCACATAGCCTTGTCCCAGTGACAGCATGTCAGATCCGTCCGGTCGCTGAGAGTCATCACTCCAAGCCCAACATTGAAATCTGTATAGGGATAGCCGGTTGAATGAGGGATTGAAAATGTTAACAAATACATAATCTCATGCACATAATAACAACTAACCCTCAGGAACATGAGCACTTATACTGTACATATGGGTCATTCCTGGGATTTGGTAATATTTCAGTCCCCCGGAGTTTCTCAAGTGGTGGTTCACCAAAATGAATTGTTAGCTTTTCACAAAACTTTGGTATGCCCATTATAAAAGAATACAAATAATTAATGAATTTTAATATTTTTTGGCATAAAATAATGTCTTAAACCAAGCATTTTGTCACTACACTGAGTTTGTACTTTGAAAATGATTAACAAAATGTGCATATTGTCTGTGATTTTTGGCAATAATATAAGCATGTATTTGTGTTCCTTTCTTGTGAAAAATATTTCCTTGAAAAACTGCAAAATATTTTATAAAAAATAGACTTTAAAGTTATGTCCCTCAGTCTGAACTCAACCCCGTCACACTAACCATTCTGTGCCCATAATAATTTATACTCCACTCATATGTGACATAATTTACCAGAAATGACATCATTCAGGTCTCTTTAATAGTGGTGCAGAAAATAGTAGTATCATACTTTTTATTCATATTTGAGGCATATTATATCAGGGATGGTACTGTCAAGCTTAACAGCTCAACCCCGTCACATAAAATTAAGATAGAAAATGATTATTTTTCAACATTTTATTTTAATCCATAAGTATATACAGTGTACATATTTTATTGCTGCCATATATATTCTACTCTCCTACACTACATGAGAAGCAGTGGCCATTTTGAGAGAAAAACCACAACCCCATCACACTCAGCACCGTCATGTATTCCTCATTGTTACGGGGTTATAAACTTGTGACAGGGTTATTTACTTCATTTATTAATAATTTTTATGAAAAACAATAGTCATGGTTTCAGTAAATATATACTTACCAAAATCATGACAACTCATCATTTGGGTATAAATAGAATTTTTGATGTAATATGTCCACTTAAACTTTGACATACATCAGAAATTGCACCCACATTTAAAGCAGAAAGACAATGTTGGGCATGCAGATGTGTTGACCCAGAAAGAAGGGGACAATATGACAGAGAAACAAAACCGAAAATTTAAATGGAAGGCAATGTATCCCTCCAAATGTGTTACAGTCTTCAACCCTGTCACACCTTGTCACATTAATATTTTTGGACAAATATAGGGAAGACAATTAAGAATGAAAGCATTTCTTGCTGATTACCATTTGACATGTTAAGGACTAAAACAATAAAATTGTGGTTTGAGTTAAACTTCTACATTTAAAAATATTTTTTACAAAAATAAAGAGACCATAGACACACAATTTGTGCATTTTTAGCTTTAGTCCTATAAAAAAATGTGAAATATGATAACTGTTACATTTGTTACCATTAAATTGTTATGAGGGATATGGATGTTTGTTTTATAACAAGTTGTCTAAAATCCTTTTTAAACCAATCCCATTTTGTTCGTTACAGGGTTGAGAAAATAAGTTGTCTAAATCTGAAAAAAACTTAAAATAATAAAAGGGTCTTTAATGCCTGAGGTGGGAAAATATTATTTTTTTTTGGAGGTTTGATATGCGCCTAATGATGTGGAGCATTTAGAAAATGAATCATAGTTGAAAAAAAAAAGAAGTATATTTCAAGTTGAAACGTTATATATATACACACACACACACACACACACACACACACACACACACACACACATATATATATATATATATATATT